AACCCCTCTGGGGTCCTTGGGTCCTTCCTGGGTCTGTTGTCGCGCAGGCCGGGAGCTCCCGCGCAGGCCGGGAGCTCACGCGCACGCCGCCGGGTGATCGCAGACAGGCAGGTCTAAAATTGTTTATAATTCAAAATTCATGACAGAATACCTCATTATATACTGCTCTATAAATAAATAATGATAAACCAAAATCAGTTTGCTGTTTAGCTTTAAAGAGTACCTATGATATGATCTCTTAAATGTCTAACTTAATCACAATGGATTACTGGATTATTCATTTAAGTAATATAATTTAATTTCTTTAAAGTAAATCTAGTGTCATGAAAGTACAAATGATTTTCTATCTTTGGTATTTTTTTCAGTGTTATAAATTTTTGATAATCTAGAAATTTAAACTGATTTACTTTTCTAATTATACGCCTGTCATTTTACAAAAATGCTTTATCTTTGTTCAAAGAAAATGAACAAATATTTTAACAACGGAACACATTTATGAAATGCCTAATGTATATTAAGCACATTTGTTTAACAATAGATCATATCAAAGAGCAGTTGACTGAAAGATCTAGCCTTTAGGAAAGGTAAACTTTCCGCCTTAAGTTTTTGTTCTAAAAATAACAATCCTAGTTATAACTTTCTTCTCATTCTAAATAGGGAAAAGAAATATAGTTGGGTCTCTTCTCGGATGCCTCCTTCCCTCCGTGTGTCCTGAAAGCATATCTGGCCCTTTCTCTCATTAGTGGAATTGCTCCTTCTTGGGGCAACGACCAAAGATGTGATTCCTTCGCTTCACCTCTCTGTTCATTGCTTCCCCAGGTTCCCCAGCACGTTTAACGCACGGAGCTGAGAGGAGCAGCAGCGTGCAGGCTTCCCCGCCAGGCTGACTTGGTACCCGGTGCTCCAGTGCTTAAAGTCTGCTTCTTTTCAAAGTTGCAAAGTAACTCTCTCCATTCTCGGCACTCTTATTTTATGGTTACTATGCTTTTCTCACCTTGTTTACTGAGATTTGGAATACACAATTTAAAAGAATCCATTACTCAGCTGTAGCAACAGCGAACTCACAGTCAAACCCGTTCAGGTCCTCATTCATTCTTCCGATCGTATTATTTTCAAGTTTGTGTATTGCATCTATCCACCTATTTGTATTGTGGTTTATGGTTAATAAAATTTTAATGTAGAAACATGTAATGGAAGTAGCTAAGACAAAATGCCATAATGTTCACTGTGTTCTAAAAAAACTGGCTTTTACGACAGCATATGTATAATACGTACTCTGGGCTCGTGTCGTTTAGAAAGTAGTTTGCACACACAAACACAATTACCAGTGCTTAGCAATCCAGTGAATAACTTTGAACAACCTTGCAGGCTCTTGTGAGTTCTCCGGAAGCTGCTTCTTTTTTTGTGTTTACTTCTGAATCTTCAAGGAAGTTGGTTTTGTTTCCTAATTGAGCTTTTATATGAAAGATCGCAATGAGCCCTCCTTCCTTCCTTCTCTCCTTCCCTTCCTTTCTTCCCCCCTCCTTCCTCTGCCTTCTCTCTGTCTCCACCCCGCCTTTCTTTTCTTCTTTTTCTGGCTTTTCACCCTTTGCATTCTTTCTTCTTCTCCTGCCCTGAGCCCCTCCCTTTCTTTGTCTCCCTACTTAAACCCTTCTGATCTTAGGTGCCCAGTCTGAAAATTTGGACAACTGTAGCCCACCCTGATCAAGAGCCAAATATATGCCAGAACTTGTTTCATGGAGAAGATGAAAAGAAACTGATTAACTTCTAACAAGACGGATGAAATGACTTTGTGTAAGACACAGAAACATTGCACAGATGTAAGTCAATTTATTTTTCCAATAGTTTTTATACTTTTTCCTTTGGAATCTTTCTTAAATAGTTTATGTTTGGGATATGTAATAGCTCCATTTGTTTTTGAAAATTGGCATAAATACATAACTACATCCTCCTGATCATGTATACTCCCCAACCTCTTTCAAAAAGCTATGCCAGATGAAAGAATAAAAACAAGTCCACGCTCTCCTCAACAAAAGTAGTCTTCTCAGGTCTCTTTGTGTTACAGTCACATTTTGACCACAGTACTCTTCCCCCTTAGTTAAAAAATGAAGTTCCTTATCTTATAGCATTTCTTCTGTGATTGTTACTGAGGTGTTGGGTGCGTCAGCTGGGGTTTACATTGACTCCTCCCAGTGCCTGTTCATCTTGCCTGAAGGGTCTGGGAGGCCCTGTGGACTGTCTCATAAGCAGAGAGAGCTCTGTGGGTCTTAGTTGTGCATCTGTGTTCAGCACTAGCCACAGACTAGCATCTGTCTTCTGTCTGAGCACCTTCAATTGTACTGGGTGATGGCACGCTCAGGAGGACTGGTCTGGTCTATCGCTCAGTCTCCCACTGATCTCTGCAGGGGCTTCCCTGATCTCCATCCTTTTCCCTCCTTAATAATCCCTGCAGCTGTTTACATCTGCTCTTTCTATGACACTCTGGTGAGTGAGCTGTGCCAGACCTTCTGTCTGTGCCACTCCTTTCTGGCTTTCTGCCTGTGCCAATCTTTCTGTCCCTGACACACAGACTTTCCAGCATGCAGATTCTGTGGTGTTTAACGCTCATGAAGAAAGGCTCTTCTGTGTGGGATTTAGTAGGATTTGAGGCAAGGTGGTGGGATCTTATACAGGTGCAGAGCTCAGGAGGGTTTAGTGGGTGGTCAGAGGTATTCTGCCCTGACTTCAGCATACTGGGGTAGTGGACAGGGGAGGGAGCCACATGGGCACAAAGGCAGCAGCATTTGGACTGGGTGACGCTGCTTTGGCATTGCTCCAACGTCTTTTCTCCACCCTGGATCCCACTGGGCACAGCCACTGGAAGCTCCTGTGACTCCCGCTGTTCTGAAGATCCCTCAACACTTGGTTCTGGATCTTTAACCAGGACCTTGTCCTTTGCTCCACTCTGTCCCTCAGGCTCACAGGACTCAACTCAGTCACTGCCCTCTCAGTGATTCTCTGGTTGTGTTTTCTGAGTACCCTGGTCTGAGAAGGCCTCTCCTGTGAATATCTTGCTTACTGGGCGCCACCTCCCAGTTGGCGGGAGAGCAAGGACAGATGGGAACTGGGTAGTGGCTGCTAGGCTGCGTGCCAGTCAGAGCCAGGGAGCTGCTGCTGCACTTGGCTTCTTTCCTCAGGGGATTTGAACTTTTTCAAGATGATGTGTTTGCTGGACCTGACCTGTAAGTAGTGCCTGGATTGAGAAGCAACCTGTTTCTTTTTCTAAATACCCCTGTTACTGGATTTCATTTGATGGGTTTCTCCTTCAAGTTGCCTTCTCCTGGTTGAGTTTTTGTTGGCCACCCCATTCCTCCATACCTGAAGACCTTGGTGAGTGTCTTTCAAACGTGGTGTGAGTGCTGCTGCCTCTACCCCGTCATGATAATTCAAGGTGTGGAATCGATTTGAAGGCTGAAATTCCAAACACAGCCCATTCTTGTGCGGTTCCCTTTGCTTCCTCATGCTACAGTAGATGAAACATGGTGGGCACATGTGAGAGAGAGCGAGAGCCGCACACTTTTTCTGTAAGCTTCAGAAGGCAATGTTATAAATTTTCTGTAAACAATAATATATATTTTAGAGAAATGAAGAGGGGAGAGTCATTTTTATATTTCCCTAGATGCTTCCTATGTTTCTTTTTTAGTATCTGAGTTTCTCTCTGGCATCATCTCCTTTTATCATAAATATTTTTAAAATTATATTTTGATAATGAAGTATATAAGGAAGCAATTTCCTTTCATTAAGACCTCAATTATTGAAGGATAGTTTCTGTTGTTGTAAGGCAATAGTTTGAAAGGGTTTTGATTTTGTTTTCCCCCAGTACTTTAAATATATTGCACCACTGTTGTCTCTATAATTTCTGAGGTGAAATCAGTTCATTTGATTCATTATTCTCCTAAAAGTAAGCTTTTTGCTTAACTAGTTGCCTTCAAGCTTTATTTTCAACTTTGTTTTTCACTAGTTTAACTGTGATTTACTCATGAATTCATTCTGTTTTGTTTTGGTTTTCCTATTTGGGGTTTTAGGAGAATATGGAATCTGTATATAGTTATTTTTACAAATTTTGGAAATAATTTCATTGTTCAAGTGATTACTTCTCAATTTTTCTCTTACTTGTCTCCTCTTAAACTTTAATTATATATGTGCTAAGCTATTTGTTATTTTTCTACGGGAACCAAAGGCTCTATTCACATTTTTAATCCATTCATGAGATTGCATTCTTTATATCCACAAATCTTCAGGACTGTCTCATGTCCTTGTCATCTGACTCTGCTAGTAAGCCTGCCCTGTGAATTTTGATCTCATATTTTGTTATTAAGTTCTATAATTTAAATTTGTTCTTTTTTAGTATTTTTTAGTTCTTTGATGAAATTTTCCTTTTTTTGTTCACTGTAAGAATATTGTCCTTTATGTCATTATACATACTTATAATAGCTTATAATTCTTGCCTGCTAATCTTAATGCTTTTGTCATCTTGGAGTTGGTTTCCCTGTCTTTCTTTTCAGAATGAACCATGTCCTTTGTTCTTTGTACTTTGAGAAATGTAAAATCTTATGTACACACTACCAACATAATGTTGGAAAGAACCTTTTTTAAAAAAAGTTTTTAAAAGAATTTTTTTTCACTCTAAACAGGCTGTACATTTGGTTGAACTCAACTGTAAATGTTGACTGTTTTGCAGCAGTTCAAATCTCAGTCTAGTTTTTTTATCCTTATCTGGCTTCTGTGGTCTGCCTCACTCATACATGCTTTCAGATTCTGCAGAGTTTGTATACAGAATTCAGGTGTCTTTTTCTTTGAGTTTTCCTTTCTAGGGCTAGTCTCTCATTTCTGGGAGTTGTGGTGTCCTTGAACTTTATCCTTTCTGTTTTTTCAGACAGAAAATCTGTAGAAGCTGCATCTACTCTGTACATGGCACCTATTGCAGCATTTGTTTAGACTAAGAGCTGTTAAAGCATAAGATCCTGTGTTATTCTGTTATTTCAAGTATTGATCGATCCCCTCTTATACCCATCATTTTGGATGCTTTTGTTCACTCCAGTACTTGCAGATGGTGATTTTACTATGAAGGCAATCCTTCTTATATACAGTACTGTGTTAGGTGAATTTTGTAACCAAGTTCTCCCTTTTCATATTAACTGACACCACAGAGCTGCGTGAAGCCATGGCATGCTTTTGTTATGCATGAATTCCTGTTAACATATACTGTACAATATGTCAAGGCCGATATTTTGTCCGAAATACACAGTTGTCATCTACAGAACAGTGTCCTGGTTGGATATTTCTTGTCCACGCAAGAAGAGAAACTCTGGCTTAATACAAGGGATGATCAATATATAAGAAGAATATTTGAATTAATCATCCTCAAAATACTTCTCTTTGCTTCAAACGCGCATTGTTCTTGACACTTTCTGAAGCAGTTCTGATAGTCAGATTTCATGGATGTCTGATCAAAGATACAGTGAATGCTGCTGGAAAGGTGGATCTGTATAAATATCAGTGTGTTCTCATCCACCTTATAACAACATGTGGCATGGTGGGACTTCTGGCTCTTCCCTAAAGTCGAGATGACCGTGAAAGGGAGATATTTTTTAATTGATGCAGTGCACTGAGGCAGCCACAACAACACAACTAAAGGTACTCATGAAAGATTTCCAGAACTGTTTCAGAAAGTGGCAAGATGGTGGGATAAGTGTGTTTGAAGTGAGTAGTAGTATTTTGAGGAGAATTGATGGCAATGTTTTACAGCGATAATTTAAATTTTTAAAAAACACTCATGATAGTTTTCAGTCACACTCTAGTTTTTCTCTGATAGCCTCATGGGTTTTCGTATGGTGGATTTTTTGGTCATAACACTTTTCACAGTTTAACACTATTTAATTTTACATATGTTTACTTACCTGTTTCTACACTGTCTTCTCAAAATCATGTAGCAAATAGGAGGCAATAGACAGATAGATAGATAGATAGATAGATAGATAGATCTATCTATCTATCTATACATACAAGGGTGAAGGAATGAAGCATTGAATGAGTAAACACTATCTTGATGGTAATAGAACTTAGATGAAAAATGATTTCAATTATAGTGCCAAGATGCTTCAAGGGACCACTATCAAGTAATAAATAATATCACTTTAGGAGCATAAGAAGTTTCTTATAAGATGTAAGAGAGTAGAGCTGGGTATGGGGCTTAATGGTAGATTGCCTGCTTAGCATGTGTGAGTCCTTGGGTTTCAGGGTCTATCCTCAGCACTTACAAATTTATTTTTGGAAAACAATCTTACCTAACCTAAACTTTTATAGGGAGTTTTCTGAATAATGCTGAATTAGTGAGATTTAAAGGGATTAAACTTTTTAAATTCTATAATAAAAGAAAGTTTAAAACACATAGATATAAAAGATTGTAGCAACACCATATTGACATGATGAGAGCCTGTATTTCAGTTTTAACACTTTAGAGACATTGGCTCATCATATGAAAAATCTGGTGTAGTATGTACCATACAGCAATACTCAAGAAATGCTAGTTTATTTCTTATTCCTCACCCCTCTTTTCTCTATAGCAAATCAAACAAGAATTTTTTTTAGTCAGATCAATTTATTAGTTTTCAAATGAACATTTAACTTGCATGGTAAAACTTACACTTTTGGATAACAAACATTTAGCTTGACTTTCTGAATGATACCCCTGACTTCCTATTTCACCTGAGATGGGACCCAAGTTCTAAACTGACGTTTCTCCATGGAAATATTTCTCTGGATTTAATGAAGAAGTGCTCACCTTTATGGCTTGGAAATAACACAGTGAATTCTACTAAAAATCAGAAGCTAGGCTTGAAGTAGCATTTTAAAATCTCTCGAATGCTTTTACCATGTGCATGTGGGGGAGGAAAATGATCTTATTATAAAAAGTAAATCAGCTAATACTTATATGAATAGCCCTGGTAGGGAATTGCAGTGAGAAAGGATAACTATTCTCCAATATACTTAAGATAAATGGAATCTGCCATATATATAGATTGATATAGATATCTATATCTATATCTATACATATTACAAAATTAATAATTAGTAGTTTTTCTTCAATCTATAAAAATTGAACTTACCTATTAGCGGAAAAAGAAAATATAGTATACATAAACAATTCTGCCTTAAAAGAAGAGGGAAAGCTTTTCTGTGACATGTGTGAATTTGGAGAACATTAAGCTAAGTGAAATAAGCCAAACATAAAAGACAAATATCACTGATCTGATTTATATATGAAGTCTAAATAAGCAGAATTCATAGGAGTAGAACGATGGTGACCAGAGACAGGGGAAGGACGGATAGGGAAAAGGGAGATGTTGGGCATTAAGAGGAAGCAATAAGCTTGAGTGATTTATTGCATAGAATAATGACTATAGTTAATTTTAACACACTGTATACTGCAAAAATATAATAATTAGATTCTAACTGTTCTTACCACAAAAGCTTGATAAATACAGTTGGAGATGGATCTGTTAATTGGTTCACTCCACAATGTAAATGTGTATTGGAACGTATTATACCCCATCAATAGATATATAAAGTATTATTTATCAATTAAAGAAAATAAAAATTTTTTAAAGGATCTGTGGAGTGATTTAAATGGTAATTTTGGTAACTTGTTGGAGAATGAGTATAGGCTAATATGAGAGTAAGAAATTCCTGGAGGCTGTATTTTGTGGTCCCAGAATTTTGTGGGTATTGTAGGAGCTCTTCCAGCTTCTTCTGGTGAAGATGAAAGAAAGATCCTTTTGTGGCTCTGGAAAGAAGAGGAAAACATTGATCACTGTGTGAAAACTTCACAAAACTCTCCATAACAAAGGCCACTGTCGAAGGAAATCATTGTACAGAGGCTTATCTTAGTTGGGCATAGTATGTTCCCTGCATTTCAGCTCCTTCTGGGCTTTCTGTCTTCCAACAGAGTGAACACAAGTAATGGCAATAGAGAAATATTTGTAAGAGTCACAGGCCAGAGATGTATGTCTAAAAATTTAATAATTCAGATGATGAAAAAATTTCATGAAAAATACAAACTATCAAACTCCCACAGAGAGAATTTGACCCTCTGAGTAGGCCTATATCCACTAAAAACTGAGTCAATAATTAATATTTTCCAGAAAGAGAAAGTACCAGGCTCAAATTGCTTCACTGGAAAGTTTAACTGAACTTTTAAAGAAACTATATCTACTCTCCGCAATCTCTTTCATAAAATAGAAACAAAAGAAACACAACGTAGTTCATTTGATGAGGCCACCATTACACTAATGACAAAATAAGTTGAAGATTTCTGCCCACACAAAAGCTGACACATGAGTGCTTATAGGAGCTTTATTCATAAGTGCCACAAAGTGGAAGAAATAAAGATATCTCTCAACAAATGAATGGATAAATTAACTGCGGTACATTCGAGCAATGAAGTATTACTTATTACTCATCAATAAAAAGAAATGAACTATCAAGCCATAAAAGGACCTAGCTAATTTAAATTCAGATTACTAAGTGATAGAGAAATCAGCATAAAGGTTATATATGATTTTACTATATGACAATAAAACAAAGCAGTGAAGACAATATAATGCTCATTGGTGATCAGGAATTCAGAAAATAGAGGCTGGCAGGGTGTACTGAATAAGTATAGCATAGGGAATTTTTCAAGTTGGTAAATCTATACTGGCTAATTCTGTAGCAATAGGTACATGACACTGTGTTTAACAAAAATCTATCAAATTTTACAATTATAGACTGAGACTTAATGTGCGCAAATAAAAAATAATTTCAGAGTTTGAATGCAGAACATGACAGAACAATCTGAATCTAAGTATAAGAGTCAAGGGAAAGGTGCTGAGATAGGTAACTCTGGAAATGTGTAGAATCTATGTGATAAATGGTAGAGATTGTACATCAAAACTGCTTCAGTTACTGAAGTTGTAGGAGTATGAGTTAACAATTTGGATGCCACTCAGTGTGTATTTTTGGATTAAATAATTAAATGAACAGATGGCAGGTGGTGGGAGACACATTTTACACTATTGGATTTTCAGGTTATAGATGAAGAAGCTTAGGGGCTAGGATGCTCTATGTGGTAATAGATTAGAGTTGGAGAAATCAACATGAACTCATAGGTACATAAGGTTATAGATGCATTAGTTTCATTAGGCTACTATAGCAAAATACTACAAAGGGAGTAGCTTAAATGACTGAGATTTATTTTCTCATAGTGTGAGAAATTACAAGTCCAAAGTAATAGTTTTAGCAGATTTAGTTCCTTCTGAAGTCCATCTCCTTAGGGACGTAAAGATGGCTCCATCATGCTTTCTTTTCTATTTGCATATGTATTTCTAGTATCGCTTCCTTATCATATAACAATACTGTAAGAGGGATACAAAAGAGTTAGAAGTCGAGAGATATGATGATGAAAGCCCCATAAGAATGATGTGGAGCCTTGTGCCAAAAATGTGAGCAGCCTCCGTGAGATAGAGGCAAGGAAAGAGTTCTGTCCTGGAGCATCTAGGAGGAACACAGTGCTGCTAACTCACTGTGGGCTTCTGGACCTCCAGAATTAGAAAGATAATAACCAGTCATTGTTTAGATTTGAGGTAGTTACAGAAGCAATAGGCAGCTAATACAGATGTTATATACAGAAAAATTCAGAGGTACATATTTATACATGGGTTATATAAAAGCTGTATGACTATTATCTTTCCAAATAATAAAATATCACATCTGATTCATGTTATTCTACCATATTTGTTTTTTAACTAGAAAAGAATTTCATTGGAGAGAAGATTAGGATTATATTAACGTGTCTGAGGGAGAGTCTCTGAGGATAGCAAAAGATTATAAGCAAGAGAAGTATTAAAAATTAGCCATAAAGGCTATAGAATATCGGGCTAGTAGATTAACATGTGTCAGATATTCCTCCTTATTTGTCAGACTAAACTACACAGTGTTAAATGGAGCTTTAATATGCCACTGCTTGGATATCCACGTGCTTGCTTGGTTGCTTGGAAGATCAAACTGCTTCTGCTGAGCTGCTTTTGCAGCAGATTTTATAATGAAAGCAAATGCCCTACTAGCTACATTCAGCATCAATCTCACATCCAGAGACTTACAGTATATGGCATGCCAGTACATGATGGCTTTAGATTTTTTTCAGGATAATCCTATAAAGTAGATAAATGTTTTTGAAAAGTGAACAAACAAAAGCAGGTATAGTGGTGTATCACTGTAATCACAGTTCTCTGGGAGAGTCACTGCTCTGAGAGCAGCCTAGGCAATTTAATGACCTAAAGACAGTTTTAATATTAAAAAAAAAGGCTGGTGTATAGCACAGTTAGAAGGACTTGGGTTCAATCCCCAGTACTGCCACCCCAACACAGTGTTAAACAAACAGATTCTTAGAATTGAATAAGGCTTGCTTTGCTGCTGGATCATTTAGTGACTGTGCTTTAGTCTGATAAGACAATAGAGATTTCATCACTTCCAAATCTAAATACCTAATCTCTTAGTTGGCTCTCGCCCTCTCTGCTCAACTATTTTGGCTTCCACTGTGAGAAGTTGCCTTTTCTATGAGCTTTCACAGTACTCTGAGTTTCCGTCTGCCATAGTACTGATCATCTATGTCCCATGCTCCTTGTCACTAAAATCCTAGATAGTTGAGAAATGCTGTTAGGTGAAGATGTGGTTGACTACCTGAATGTGTATTGCCTTACCTTCTCTTAATTGGTTTCTGTTTTTCAGTTGCTTGACTTTTTTTCACCCTTGCTTGTGCTGCTTGTCACAATCACTATGTTTTCTTCAACCTCTCCAGGCTGCCACCAATTTTATGCTCACAAGGATATTTTCAGAGGAATTTGAGTAAGTAAAATGCAATGCACCAAAAGCAAGGGAAACAGAGAGTGCTCTGTTCAGTGTCCACTCAACTGCAAATTAAAGCCATTGTCAAGAGGGAAATATGATCTCAGTGCTGTTGTGTGAATGCATGAACATGCCAGGGGGCGCTAAATATTCTCAATGATGAAGATAAGAGGGCAGGTGCAGAATCCAAAATTCTGTTCCCCAACTCTGGCAAAAGCAGAAGAAGGTGGCTACTGTCAGAGGCTGCATACTTCTCTTAAGACCTGTTTGCTGGTCTGAGTAACTTGGGGAATGTTAGTAAAATTTAAACATTCTCCTAATAGCTTACAACAAGGTTGGGAAACATTTTGTTTAAAGTGGTATTTATAAAAATAAAAAAAATATATATATATACTTTTTAACAGCTTCTGCTTATTTACATATGGCATATTACACACACACACACATACATATGTATTTTTTTCTTATTTTGGTACCAGGGATTGAACTCATGACCTTTTGCTAATGAGGCAGGTGGCAGCACCACTGAACTAAATCCCTCACCCTGCATACTGTATAAAATATATCATATAACACATTGTAGCAGGATACTCCCAGAAGAATGAGGACACTGAGGCTTTTTCCAGGAAGTAGCATTTATTTGTGCCAGCACAGGTTCATTGCATTAGTACCCAAAAGGCTAAGCCTAGAACATGGCGGGGTTTTGCTTTTTATGCAAGTTTTGTGTCTTTTTCTCCCATAAATGGCAAGACACTAACATACTACAGGCTGATTGGGTACAGTCTATGTTACACAGTAGTGCTGGAACTACACACGGGTATCTAACAACCCTGGTATCTTTCCTGATTCTGAGGAAGCTCCCATCTCCACTACATTCTTTCTGGAATGGCCTGGCCACAAGTCTATGGAGAAAGGTCCTACCACATTTCCCCTTTTGATGCTCAGACTCCCTCAATTTTGAGTCAAAGAGCATCATCTTGATCTAAAGATTTATACTTCCATAGCACCATCATGTGTGGCTGTTTTTCTTTCGACCAATGCCTCATTGAAGCTGGAGACAGACCATATAACCCAGGCAGCTAGGCAGGGTAGGATTAGACAAGCTCTTAAAATTAGGAGCACAACACCTATGAGGGTTCTGAATCCCTTGAATATCGAAAACCATCCTCTAAATAATTCTCCAAGGTCCCAGACATTCCAGGTCTAGACTGGGACATGAACAGTTTTTTGTATCCCATTTGTGATCACCTGTCTGATTTTTATCTCATCATCTCTCTGTAGTTAGCAGTTGCTCAAGTTAGACTTTTCACAAACTCCTCCCTGTGAGATAAGCAAGTAGGCTAAGTGGTTTTGATAGATAGCATCGCACATTGGGATTTGCTGTTTTGCCAACAATTTTACGGACTTTGGCAGTATCATTAGTTATAGTTTCTATAAGGACTTACAGTCTTATTATGCAGTTGAGCATGAAAAAGGGGCATGGTAGCCCCAAGACCCACCCTCTGCCCAGATAGCAGGGCCATAATATTGGATTATGCACTCAGGAGGCCATTTATTACCCTTCCAGTTGCCAATTTGTGGGCAGACCATTTTGGCTGAATTTCTCTGTCCCCATACACCTGGACTCCCACATGTTCTCCTCAGGCAAGTTAGAGTAATAGAAAAGGTGGATGGATTGTTTTAACACATGCGATCCTGGTCAGTTTGCGGGGAGTACAGTGTAGGCTGTTCTCCCACATATCCAGTATAGTTCACCTAGGGCTCATCATTTCATGGCTGTATCAATACTGTTCCAAGCCTCTTGGAGATGGGAGAAGTTAGACAAGAGGCGAGGACCTAGTTCAAGATAATTTGGGAACCCCCAACATTGGGCTTCCTAGGTGTTAAATTATAACATCTTTGGTCTAGGCATGTTAGGCTTCCAACAGGGACAGTGAACCTTTTCACCACTGGGAAAGGCAGTTCTTTCCAAAGATTGAAGTCATGAGAAGTCAAATCTCAGAGGTAGGGTTGGGTACCTACCCTGTTCTACCACAAAACTCACTAGATCTAATTCTCTAGTCTCCCATGGGCATTGATTCTCCATGTTGGTTCCCTCACATACACAGCAAGAAGAGATCTTTAGATTCAGGGCTACAGTCTCTGCTAAGGTTAGGAACAAGTTTCTGGTTGTGGCTGAAATGGGAGGGGGGCTACTTTTTATTTCCTTGTAAAAGGAATGGAAGACCTGGTGGGATGTGGTTGAATGGGTGGTACTGATTCTCTTGAAACATAGCACAGTCCCTAGGTCTTTTTTCCTGCCCATGAATCTAGATGCCAATTTAGATGCCCCCATTGCCACCTGGAGTCTCCTGGATGAATGATGGTAAAATTTATAGAGTTACAGGTCTTTGATAGACAACCTGATGAAGCAGCTCCTTTTTGAAGGCGTGCTGCTGTGCCTTCTTTTCCCAGTTAGCCCATCAAACACAGCTCCTGCTGGGGCATACAAAACCAGGAGTACAGAGAACACATAAGCCATGTTCTTCACACATGTATTTGTCATTGACTTGGTATTCTCACTCCCAATCTAGGCCTCCATAAAGTACATTAAGAGTCCTTGGGCCCGCTATGGCAAGTGCCTGTTTCTTTCATATGACAGACACCTTGGGGCAAATAACTATAACCACATACATGTCAAATTGTACTGACCCAGTCATTTTGGGTTAGCAATTTGTGTCCAGCTGAGCAAGCCCTCCCTGCTTACTGGTAGGATCAGACTTCTAACCAGTCTTCACTGGGGGAATAATGTGGTTCAAAATGAGTATTTTGACTCCCCTGTTGGCAGACAGAGGAGATTGCCTTGTTTTGTGTTCAGGTTCCCTAGACCCTTCCCTGGCATGAGAGGGAGGTATGGTAAAGTCCAAGTAATTCCCTGGCCTTACCTGGTTATGTGAATACATGGGTCACATGATGAGGAGCTCAGGACTATCAATGGGGCCCTCAGTAAAAACAGCTAATACCAGCAAAACATCCTACCCTAAGAGGAAGGTGAGGGCTAGCGGGCACCTTTCACCCCAGTTGGCTGGAACAAGCTTGGCAAGGGCTATGGAGAAAATCAGAAAATTAGAGGTAGAGTTCTAAGTACAGTTAAGAATCAGGAATGTCAGTGCATAGCGGATGACCAATCACAAAAAGGAATGCAGTAAATTCGTGTTGCCAGTCAATGGCATCCTCAGGCTTCTGCTATGCATTGACTACATTGACTAGTCAGCCTCTGGAATAACTAGAGCAGGGCTATTATCTCCTGATGGTGTCTCTGATGTCTAGGCTGGTGTGTGTGTGTGTGTGTGTGTGTGTGTGTGTGTGTGTGTGTGTGTGTGTGTGTTGTCAGCTTACATGGTGTCAATGATCTGGGACTCTCAGTTCTGAAATGTGAGCTTTACTCCAATGTGATGAATCCAGGGGACTATCTTGGCCACCTTTACTTCAGTGGGGGTGGACAGGACAACAGTGAAGAGGGTCATCCAAAGGGGTTTTACCACAGCATCCCCTGGTTTAAAGGAGTGAGCATCTGTGGTCAAATTTACTGGCAATCATTCCTTAACCCATTGGTGTAGAGTGACTAAGGTTGAGCCTAATGCCTGCATCTGTTGCATCAGGATGAGATTACCAAGCTTCTTTAAGTCCTCCTTTATCCTCTTAATAATAAGAAGAGATCTCCTTTAGAGGATTTCATGGGGGAAAATCCGGTTTAGTCAGACTAGACCTAATCTTCAGCAGGGCTATTGGCAAGACTGGGGCTCAGTGCAGGTCAGTTTCCTGACAGTTTGCTCAGCTGTACCTTTAAGAGTCCGGTTGGTTTGTTGCACTTTCCCTGAGCCGTGGAGATGGTATGCTGTATGCAGTCACCAAGTAACCTTTAGTCACCTGGCCACCAGCTTTACCACCTCAGATGTCTGCTCACCTGTTTTCTGATCCTGTCGTAACAGGAAAAACATCTCAGAAGGAATTGGGCCATCTCAGACACCTTTGCTGTATGGGAGGAAAAGGCCTCTAATCCATCTGAGAACACACCATGACCAACAAATACTTCAAGCCACAGCCTCGGAGAAATTCAGTGAAGTCCACTACCACATTTTCAAATGGAGCCGTCCTGACACTCTACCTTAGGCACTGTCTTGGGTCCTTGACTCAGCTTATTGTGGGCACATGTTTCACAGAGTTCAGTTTGCACACTACCTAGGGTCTCCTGAACAGCTGAGTGACATAAAATTGCTGATCCATCATGGTCCTGAGAGCTGTCAGGCTCATTGGGTGTCCTTATGAAACATTTTTAAGGACAAAAGTTGGAGCTAGTGCCTCAGGGATTGCAACATTGTCGCCTTCAAATTTCCACCATCCACCTGGTGTCTTAAACCAAGTACTCTCATGTTATGAGTAATTAGGATGCCATCTGCTAATGGACCAGCCAACAGTGCACCAGCCACAGCCATTGATTCTGTCATTCCGCTATAGTCCATGAGCTTTACCTCCCAGTCTGCTTTATAGTTCTCCAACTGGCCAAGATGTCTCCCTCTGGTGTCCCTGACAGTGCATGACTGCCACACTTCAGGGGCCTGTATAGCATTTAAGAGTTCAAAGATTTTTCTATCATATTTTGTCTTTTCCTTCTGAGTTTGTTAGATCCCTTTCTTTATACAGAGCTCCAAGTATGTGTAGGGTGGTGAAGGTACACTTGGTGAAGGCACACTGTGTATACATTTACATGCATCTCTGCTGGAAGTTGGAGGGCACAGGTTAGAGTGATAAGCTCTGCTTTTTGTGTTGAGGTTCCTTTGGCAGAGACTTGCATCAATGACAGAATTCAGGGTTGCCATAGAGTACTCTGCAAGGTTTTCTCCCTCTTTCACAAACCTGCTACTATCACTGAAATACTCAGTGTTAGGGTCCTTCAGAGGCTGGTCCCTCAAGGCTGGTCAGCTGGAGAACACTTCATCCACGACTTCAATACAGTCATGATCTGGCTAGCTTGGCCCAACAGGCAGTAGGGTTGCCAAGTTCAGAGCCCATATCATTTCTAAATGAATGCATGGATTTTCATATAGCATCCCATGATATCTAACCATCTGGGCATGAATTAGCCAGTGTCATCCCTTATGCTACATTAATGTCAATAATG